CCCCCGTAATGTTCTAATGTTTCTTCAATATGTCCAAAAGAAGTATGCTTTTCTTTCATAAAGTAGAAGGATTAGCAACAACAACAACAACCCAGTTAAATCCCATAAGAGTGGGGTCTGGGGAGGGTGTGTGTACGCAGACCTTGCTCCTACTCGAAAGTAGAGAGCCTGTTTCCAAAGAGACCTCCGGCTCAACGTCAAAAGTTGCATTGCTTGACTAACTGCTACTTCATTAATTAGAGAAGCGCAGATAGTTTAGAGATCCATTTTGATTTATTCCATCACACTCCAAAGCCAAAAAATGATGAAATTTTGGCTTCATCGGAGATAAAGGAAACAAAGTAGAAGTATTAGCAAAAAATTGAAAAAACTTTTTCTAACAATAGAATTGAGTATTGTACAGATAGAGTCACTTCTGTTTACACTGATCTGAAAAAATTTCACTATTTTTTTGAAAAACTTAAAATGTCATATTTATAAAATTAATGATTTTTATTCCCCAAATTTAGTTGATTTTGGGATCAACCATTTTTTAAAAAAGACAATTAGCATTATATGGAATATAAAGTCTAAACATCTTTTTTTTTTTACCACAAACACATTTATACAGTAATTTGTAAGATCTAAACACCTTTTTTTATTTACCACAAACACCAATTTAATTTTTATCTATTGAGGAGAGTGAAGCAACCCAATTTCTCATGCTTTCCATTATGTCGGAAGCAGAGGGCCTCAAAGTGGGAGGCTCACAGAGACACAGGGCAGCAAGAGAAGCCATAGCCATGGCTTCCCCGAGCTCACATTCCCCCAACAAACGCCGGTCCACCATCTCCGCCACCTTAGAAACATCTCTCAACATATGACCCACTCTGTTTATCAGCCTCCCGCCGCCGCCGCCGCCGCCGTCCGGCGAGACGGCGTCGAGACCAGTGATTAGCTCCAGCATTACCACTCCGAAGCTGTATATGTCGTTCTTCTTCGACGCGATTCCGGTTTTCAAGTAGTGGGGGTCGGCGTAGCCCGGAGACCCGATCATCCGGCGGGACGACGGCGGGAGTGCGGCGGCGGCGGCGGAGGTGGAGAGGCCCAATTTGGCGGAACCGAAATCGCAGAGCTTGCAGTTCAGGGCGGAATCCAGGAGGATGTTCGAGGATTTCACGTCGCCGTGGATGATCTCCGGGTCGGCGTGCCGGTGGAGGTAATCCAGAGCTCCGGCGATCTGGAAGGCGATTTTCGCCCTGTTTTTCCAGGTGAGAAATGACCCTTTTGCCCCCTGGAGATTCTCCCGGAGAGTGCCGTTGGAGACGTACTCAAGGACCAGCGTCCCTTCCTCGGAGTACCCGAGAATCTTGACTATGTTGTCGTGTTTGACCCTCAGGAGGATCTCCAGCTCTTGCCGGAAAATCCCCTGCAAACGGTTACTGCCGCCGGCGTCTATGGTCTTGACGGCGGCGAGGGACGAATCGGGAAATTTACCCAGATACACAGTGCTGGAACCTCCATAGCCAATCACACGAGACCGGGAGAAATTAGCAGAGACCCTCTCTACTTCTTTCCCGGAGAAGATCCTCGCCCCTTTGTCCTCTTCAGAGGAGACTTCCACGCGCCGCCCTTCCAGGGCCCGCTTCCGCCGCCGCGCTTTGAATCTGAAACACGCGAAAAGGGCCATGACGGAAGAGAGTGTCGCCGACGGTCGGAGTTAAAGCGGTGGTCGGCGGGAAAGATATAGAGATAGAGAGAGAGAGAGCTAAAGCATTTTTTGTCACCTCTCTCTCTCCGCTCCGATCCTTTTTAATGCTGAGGTGTTGGAAGTTAGGCTATTCTAAGACTCTTCCGAATGTTAATTTTTAAACCGTTTTTACTTTTTACTCTAAATAAATTTATTGAGGACAAGCTTGTCCCAATTCTTTTAAATAACAACAAATACTTGAGTCTCTAAATATTTATCTAGTTTGGATTTTTTTTGGTCAATAGTTTTCAATTTTTGATCTATAATTAAATAAAATATATATCGTATGTATATTAATGAGATATAATAATATTCTAAAAATATTTTGTAAAATACATCTAAATAATTTTTTTAATCAATATCTAATATCATTTTTATTTAATTTTAGACCAAAATTTAACAATGTTTACCAAAAAAGTCAAAAATAGATAAATATTTAGGGATGGAGAGAGTATTATCTGCATCAGATTTCGAACAACGTGCAGAATAACCTTTTTAAAAATAATTTCATTTATAAATTAGTAGAATAATAAGAAGTACAAATTACATCTTTCAAAGGTAATAAAAAATTTAATAAAACAAGATGCAACAAGAATATATTATTTTACTAAATGGTCAGTGAGTTAAAAGTACAATGGGTGTGTGTGTCTATATATATATATATATATATATATATAGAGAGAGAGAGAGAGAAACCTAGGGTATGATTTACACAAATGAGTGGAATACACTCTAAATTTTGATAACCTTTACGTGGCTCATCCCAAATAGTGTATTTATTTGATTATTTCTACTGGGTAATACTTCCTACGTCCACAAATAAATTTTACATTGCGCGTTACGATGTTTGACTGAAGTTATTTTCAAATTATTTTATATGAAAAATGGTGTAGAATTGAAATATAAAAATTACATATTAAAAAACTATATAAAAAGATCTACAAAACTAGAAGTGACATGACTATATATTATTTAATTAAATGGGTGACGAAAATAGGCTAACAAAGTGAATAAAGTTTGACCATGTGAATAGTGAACGTAAAGTTTATTTATGGACGAAGGGAGTATTCTGCAATTTCTTTTTATTCAAATACATTTATTGATGTAATATAATTATCTCTCAGTTATGAATATCTTTTAACGTCATGACCAATTTTTTTGTACGTTGAAAAAAATGAAAAACCGTATACTCCAAGCTAAGTAAGGGAAAAAAACCTAAATAAGACTAAAACATATTAAATATACCTAAATAGGAGTCCAAAACATAAATTCTCCAAATAGGACTTAGTTTGCATAGCCATCCCCAAAATACCCTACCCTTCCTCTCATCTCTGCCGCAAGTCTTTAACTACCAAACATAAAATAAATATATCAATATTAAAGTTAAATGTTGCATTATTGTTGATATAAGGTGGCCATTTACAATATGAAATTTTAGTTTTCTCATTTACACAATTACACGTACAACCAATTATAAGAGTCCCTAAAGTTGGTCATGTATATGCCAATTTGTGGCACTGTACACAGCGTTGAATGACAAAGGTTATTTAGATGAAACGAAATTATGAAATAAAAGTGTCAATAAGGAAGGACATTTTAAAAAGTACATTACATCTTAGTACAAGCAATTTTAACACAATTAAATCATACTAAAAAAGTCATGTAATGCAACATAAAGTGATATCAAATAGTGTTTGGATCTTCTACTCATGGAATAGGATTTCTATGTGTTTGGGTGGACTATACCAGCATGTGTACATATACACTAAAGCCTCAATTTTGTAGAAAGGAGAGATAAAATCATAACAAAATAAGCCAGGACGTCTCCTAATAGCAGCCACAGCATGAACGCAAATAAATTGATCCAATTAGAATTCACAATATGTCCATGTTTTGTCGTTTAAACTCATATGGACATGTTGACTTTAAATGCATAACAAAAATATAAAAATATTCAATGGTTAATATGCAATTAAAAAAATTCATGATAGTCCAACAAAGTACTCCGTATGTAATGTGGATATTACCAGTGTCATAATCTGTAATGTGGTGATGAATATTACGAACCATTGTAATGTAAAGTGTCACAGTATGTCATGTGGTAATGTGTATTACAAAGAGTTGTAATGTAGAC